TTATTCGACCGGTCGGCATCCGTCTATGCGACCATGCCTATAAATAGTGTCACCGTGCAGGGTGTGGTTTGCCAACATGTACAGTTAATTTTTTCTCTGTTATTCGACCGGTCGGCATCCGTCTATGCGACCATGCCTATAAATAGTGTCAGGCGTGCAAGGTGTGGTTTGCCAACATGTACAGTTAATTTTTTCTCTTTTATTCGACCGGTCGGCATCCGTCTATGCGACCATACCTATAAATAGTGTCATCGTGCAAGGTGTGGTTTGCCAACATGTACAGTTAGCAAAAGCGCGGACCAAGTAAGCTTTAGCTAGAACTTGTATATAACAGTATTGATTCTATACTTAATGCTAATAATTAAAAGAGTACTTACTCGTTGAACAACACTCCATACTTCCTTGTTGTCGGCATTAAAAAGCATACTAGCTGACTCGAATAAAATCTGAAAAGAAAAGAGAGCCATTTAAAAATTAAAGTCGCTCTTATAGCGCATGTGGTTACTCCAAAACTCAAGGCGTATCCCATGAGGCATTCGGCCTTTCCTGCGATATCGATCGTGAAATGATCGAACCAATATCAGAAAGGAGTCGGGTATAAGTCGGGTGCTACAGATTTCTTGCTTGCTTACACCGCGAYAACATAGTGGATTACTCCGTAACGAAGTAACCACAAAATCATTCGCAAAATAGTGGATTATGGAGAGCGATAGTCAAGGAAAGGAACAATTTTCAGCAAAGCAAATTACCTGTGCRAACTGGTGATTCTTGGCAGATATTAGAGTGCTGGAGTTCTGCTTGCTTTCATAATTAAACAAGACTGTGATCGTGCCCAGGGCGATTTCAATGTCRTTTGGATAAAGTCGAGTAGCTAGAGTCAAAGCAAGGTCAAGCCTTCGTGACATTTTCATTGCTATTTCGGGCGTCCAGGTAAGATCTCCTTTTTCAAGCTTTTTGAGCTATACAATTAAAATGATAATTTTAAAGTGCACATGACACCATTAGAAATTCATTCTCATCCAAAAGAGAAAATGCTGCTAAGTTCATCTGTAAAGAAAGAAATTGATTTTAAATTGTATTTTCTAAGTTATAGGCAATTGAAACTTGGAAAATGCAAATGAAGTGACGTCTACTAAGGAATGATTTAATATACAAAATCATGAAAGAGAACGTTATTCTTTTTGTTACATTGGAAAACGCATTTTCAGCTCTCAATTATTATTATGATTGATGATTTGAGCTCTTCAACCAAGAATAGCATAGCGCAAACAATGTAAAAAGTCTGGATCAATTCCTTAGTTGACGTCACTTCATTTGCATTTTCAATTTTCAAATGTCTATAACTCAGAAAATACAATTCAAAATCTATTTCTTTCTTCACAGAAGTASTTGGCAGCGTGTTACCTTTCGGATAAAAGTGTTTTTCTAAAAGGTGTCATGTGCACTTTAAGTTAATTTTTATTTTCACTCCTTGCATTTTTTTATTCATTCACGGCTAACTTGCACCCAAAAACCTTTGCGATCGTTTTGAGTTAAAAACTAGTGTCTGAGTGAGTTGCTCTCTCAATGGTTCAAAATCAAAGATGTCGTCTTTTCGTGTGTGAGAAATGGCGCAAAGGTTCTTGGGTGCACGTGACCCTTTAAGTATAAGCTCGCCAATACATTTATATGCTATGTTTCTTAGAACTCCACGAAAGGCACGCTTACCGTCGTTCTTAGCGTAAGAAATGAATTCGACACACAGTCCATTAAATTCGGTTTTTGCCATCCTTTTTCTTGATCACAGAATCGAGTCGCAACACCTGGTAAAATGGAAAATATTCATTGAATAGTCCATATCACAAGGCCGCCATTTTGAAAGGTTTTGCAATGAATCATGGGATATATATCTCCCTTTCTCCATCAAAACAAATCGCTAAAATGGTAAAAACACTAATTAGTTTTTTTTCCACATACAAAATATGTTTGTTTTCATTTTTGTTTGATTTGCCTAGTAAATGGAAATTTTCGATTAACTGTACATTTTTTGGAGGTTTTTCATGCTGTATTTCCTTGCATGTTGATATTTGTTTGTTTTTTCGCTTCTGAGATTAACTAAAATATCAATATTTCCCAATGTTTTTCGAAAACTGAGTCTACGTTACAGAAACCTGGAGCACTGACATCGTTGCTCCCTTGTTTACTCATTTATCAATCCCAAAATGCACTTCGCCCTAAGGCTTTCCGCGGGTTGCGATATGGACTATGAGAAGTGGATTTTTTGGAACGGATTGGGATAGACGAGAATAATATCTTACCAGATGCTCCAAAAGGACACTTCTGCTTCGCCATCTTGTTAAATGCTCCTCTCTTCCACCAAATATCCTCGGCCATCGAGCGAGGACAAGATGTATTGATGACTGAACACAACAAAATGAAAATCAATTATATGTAACACAGAAAAACAGAACAATGAAACATAATTAAACGGTACAACAGTTG